AGGGAGAAAGGAGGGGCGTGGGGGATGTTAGGGTTTGGCTAAGGCTCGCGTGTTCAGAGGTGGGACTTCCAGCAGGTGACTGGATCATGGAGGTGCTTTAATCAGTAGTTAATCCTTGATGAATTCATGGCTGAATGTGCTGTTAGGAAATAGAGCCTGGTTGGAGGAAGTAAGTCACCGGGGACATGCCCTGGAAGTTTGTACTCTCTCTCTCTCTCTCTCTCTCTCTCTCTCTCTCTATCACACACACACACATTCTTCGTCATGAGTCGAGCAGTTTCTCTCTGCCACGCCCTTCTGTTCTTCTGCTTTGATGTTTCTGCCTTGGAGCCAGCTGACCATAAACTGAAACCTCTGAAACCATGAGCCAAAATAAATCACTTCTCTTTTCAATTGTATATGTCAGGTACTTGGTCCCAGCAAAGAAAAGCTGCCTAGCACAGGAGACCCAGGCCTGATCCGGGGGAGTCGGCATGGGTCTAGGTCAGTGATGAGAGTTACAAGGGAGGCTGAGCAGAACCAGGCCGTGGGTGCTGAGCGCTGCTGGAGCGTGTCAGAGACACTCAGAGGGAGAGGGGCCCAGACAGACTAGAGTTAGCTGGGGGAAGTGGCAGGCTGCCAACCCTGACTTTGGACAAGAAGGTCAGCAGATAGAGGGGCCAGAACATCCGAGCACAGCGTCCACGGGGCAAAATGTCAGAATGGCAGAATGCAGCTGGCGAGGGGATCAGCCACAGCTGAAATCTATGTTTCTCAATGTCAGTTTCACGGGGTCTTGCTGGGGTGAGTTGTGAGCGAGGCAGACACCAAGAGACTGGAATGACAGGGCGGCGGAGGGCCCACATGTCCAGAGGCAGCGTGGTGGAGAGCTGCGTATTGGAGTGTCAGATGGGAATGTGGCTTTGACGGGCTGTCGGCGGACAGGGTGGCAGCTGGGCTCGCCCTCTATTCCCTGGGACTCGGGCTTGGCAGCACAGAGGTGGGGGTGCTGCGCCCCAGCTAGGGAGAGGTGGCCATGATGCATTGCCCTCCCATCCAGAACAGAGGTTTGGAAAAGGGAGAAGGAGGTATAGTTTTCTAGGGCTGTCATACCACAGTACCAGAGACCAAATGGCTTAAACAACAGAAATCTATTTTCTTACAAATCTGGAGGCTAGAGGATCAGATCAAGGACTCAGCAGGGGTGCTTCCTTCAGAGACCTCCCCTCAGCTCGTAGATGGCAGTCTTTTTTTGGTCTTCTCACGGTTTTCTGTCTGTAAATATCTATCACAGTCTCTAAATACAATCACATACTGAGGGGCTGGGGAGTAGAACATCAGCCTGTGAGGTTGGGGAAGGGCGAACTCGGCCCATTATAGGAGGCAATCGGGGAAATGGGATTAAGGAGCTCTTCCATGTCAGGATTGTGCAGAGAGACAGGTAGCCATGGGGTATCAAAAGCTAAATCCTTCCTGGAGGAGGCAAGATGGTAAACAGAATTTGGTATGGTTGTGGAGATTCCAAGCAGTCCAGGGGTGCATAGGCCCATGGAAAACAGCAAAGCACTAAATGTGGACAAAGGGAAAACGCAGAAAGAAGCAAGCCTCCAGAAAGCTTTGTTCATAGGCTGCCTTCAGAAGAGACCCTAGGAGCTGAATTCAATCTCCCTAAAGTGAGGATAGGATAAAACTAAAAGATAGCTTTTTCTTCCCCCATTTTTGCAAGACTTTGAGGCATAAGCGTGTAGGATCAGGGCATGTGACTGGTTTGGATTCCAATCAGGAATCTGGTGTGGCCTGTGTCACCTTGGACAGTAATGTGACTTCCTCAGCCTCAGTTTCCTCGTCTATTCAGAGGGAATGAGCCAAACAGCAACCTCCCGGGGTCCTCGTGGGATGGCAGGATGACACTGTGGAGACGCAGAGGACAGAACCGGGCTGGTGACCGTGCTCAGTAAGTGTCAGTGATAATGATGAAGCCGCAGGTGTTTGATTTTGTAACTCCCTTCCCAGCTCCAAGCCCCTGTCAGAGGGGCCTGGCCCTCCACTGTATGCTGGAACCCAGGGGTCCACCAGCACCTGCCTGGTGCTCTCCTCACCAGGACTCACATGGCTCTCACCTTCCCCTCATCAGGTCTGGACCATGCTAACTAAAACTGAAACCCAGAACCCTCCTCATCCTGCATCTCAGCCTCATTTTTCTTCATGGAATTTGTCACCTCTAACATACTCTCTTGTTTCACTGAGCATGTGTGGTTATCTCCTCTGCCTTCCAGAATGCTGTCTTCAGGGGCATAGGGATTTTTATATCCCATGTTCCCTGGAACCTAGAAAAATACCTAAATCAAAAGAAGTGCTTAATAAATACTTGTTTGGGGCCTGGGATTTAGCTCAGCAGTTTGGTGGCCTGCCTTGCAAGTGCAAGGACCTGAATTCGATCCCTGGTACCAAAAATAAATAAATAAATAAAAATAAAATAAAATAAATACTTGCTTGAATCAAGCATAGTGGCATGCACCTGTAGTCCTGGCTACTTGGGAGGCTAAGGCAGGAGGGTTGCCTGATCCCAAGAGTTAAAAACCTGCCTGGGCAACATCGTAAGACCCATCTGAAAAATAAATAACTAGAATAAATGCATGTTATATGTGGGTGAGTAGATATGAGGGGCTGATGCTGTGGAGAAGCCCTGCAAGACGCTGCCAGCTGGGAAGTCCTGAATCCCTGGGTCTGCAGGAACTAGGTGGGTGGGGTTCCTATCCTCTCTTTCCCATGGGAAGCTGCGTCCCCTCAATCCTGCCTAGGCTTCCTTGGGTCAGGCCAGCTGCTCTGAGGGTAGGGCAATGACAAGCAGCCACTCAGGTGTAAAGCCTCCAGCCAGAGCAGCTGTATCTGAAAAGCAAATCGCCCTCCCTGTAGTGTGCCTATCTCTGACTCAGGGAGCTGAAACACCTCATTTCACGGCTTCTTGTTACCAAGGGACAGCTCAGGGTGGGAGACGGCCTAGCACATGCCTCCATCCTTGACTTCTGACCCTGAGCTGATACGGTACAACCCTCCCTTGGGGTCATGAAGGGTGACAGACTCCAGGACCCCCACGGATACCAATATCCACGGATGCTCAAGGCCCTTATGGAAAATGGCCTAGTATTTACATATAACCTCTGCACATCCTCCTGTACACTTTAAATCATCTCTAGATTATTTGTGATTCCTAATCCAATGCACATGCTATGTGAATAGTTGTTATGCTGTGTTGTTTAGGGAATGGTGACAAGGAAAAAAAAAGTCTGTACATGTTTAGCACAGAGGAGCAAACTATTTTTTGAGCATTTTTTTCAGTACTAGGAACTGAATCCAGTGCCTTCTCACTAAGCTACATACCTACCCTTTAATTTTTTGTTTGTTGGTTGGTTTTATTTTGGAGACAAGGTCTTACTAAATCACTAAGTTGCCCAGGCTGGATTCAAACTTGCAATCCTCCTGCCTCAGCCTCCCAGAGTGCTGGGATTACAAACCTGAGCCACATGTCCAGTTTTGTTTTGGTTTTTTTTTAAGCATTTTTCAATCTGGGGTTGGTTGAATCTGGATAGAGAGAGCCAACTGTCCTGCCTTCTGCACCCAGGATAGAGGCCACCGGGACTGCTGCCCATGGTGCTGAGCTTCTTCCCTCCACCCCTTCCTCACTAGCGTAATACAGTGAGCCCCACCATCCCAGATGGCCCTCAAAAGACACACTCCAGTTTGCACAAGTCCCTCTGGCAGCCAGGGCTTGGGAGTGGACACAACTCCAGGTGTTCTCTGAGCAGGGCAGGAGGTGCCGGGACACACAAAGGCACGCCTGTGAGACACACAACATGCACACATTCAGGCTGCACAAACGTTCCCATGCACCACCCTGGCCCTCAGAACAGCATGGAAGGGCGGGCCCTGCAGCTGAGAGGTGGCCCGCACGCCAGGTTGCCTTCATAGTCAGCGCCTGGCCCTTGGAGCCCCGGGTTATGTGAATCAAACCCACACACTTGCCATCGACTGAGCACCACCCAGATCTGGCCTGGGGTGTAGACAAGGAATTCAGACACTCACAGGGCAAAGGTGTACCCTGGAAGAGCACCCTATGGAAAACAGAGAACACAGACTCGATCACGATACAAGGAAAACCACAAGACACAGGCCATAGGGTAGCCAGGTAAAATATAGGGCAGTCAGTGTGTTGCTCAGCTTTCTGTTACTGTGCTGAGCTAACTGAGATTGTTAACTAAGAGGAGAAAAGGTATATTTTGGTACACTGTCCTGAAGTTCACTGATCCATTTGAGACAGAGGAGAAGCACCTGCTCCTCCCTTTGCCCTGTGATGGAAGGAGGGGGCATGGTTTGGCCTACAGCTGTCACACACACACACACACACACACACACACACACACACCCCTCACTTCCCTTCACCCCCCTGATGGTCCCTGAGGAGGAACTGGGACAACTCACTTCAGTGTCCTCCCACCTGCTCTCCCGGCTACTCCGACATGAGATGCAGCTCAGCTCCGGGCATGGTGCGATTCTTCTCCCACCACTCCGGAAGCTGCTGCTGCCTCTCTGGAGAAGTGGTGTGGAGACTCTCCCCAGCTGGCAGAGGTCAGGGATGAATTCAGGCATCCTTTACAGCCTCAAGTCCCACCAAGCTGTGATTAACACAGGTAGCCCTCCTGGAGATCCCCTAATTTTAGCCCTACCGCCAATTTTCACAGAGACTTGACAGCAGTCAAACGGCTCACCTTTCTGGATGTTAGCCAAATTTCCATGTCCTGTACACCCAGCAACCACTCCAGGGAGTATCTACCCTGGCTGCTGTGGGCTCTAATTTGAACCAAGCAGAACTGAATTCGGACCAATCAATTGGCTCCGATCAGGATGTTTGAGTTTAGACCAATCAGCAGGCTTGAATTCAGGCCATTCAACAGGCTTAAATTTGAACCAATCACAGACCTGCTGCTGCTTTATTAGCAGCGCTCCTCTACACTTCTCTGATTGGTCTGGTGCGCTGATCGTACCATGCTGCTGCGCAGGCCCCGTCCAAATAAAGCCTTGCTCCAGTGATCCTGTAAATCTATTCATGCTTTATTTCTTGGATGATATGGCCTCAGAAGGTCTTGTAAATCTACTTGGGATTCTTTTCCAAGGAGTGTGAAGAGAGCAGTTGCTTTAAAAAGAGCTATAAACGTGCACCTGTTAGCCCTGAGGAGCTCCAGAGACCAGCAGCCAATGAAGATGGGCAACAGAAACCAGCAATGGCAGTGTCAGCAGACAGTGTGCAGCATTAACTGCTGTCAGCTTGCGGCACCAGGGCCCACATCTGTAACGCCAGGGCTGAGGCCTACTGACACTCAAATCAGGGCCGCGGCCAAGCTATTTTTTGTTGATTCATGATTTCTATCTGAATCAAACAAAAAAACCACCCTCGATTCATTGGCAGCACGGTCGCCACATTACTTCAGGCCTCTGATGGGGCAGCACATCGTGGCAGGAGCACACAGCAGAGCAAACCCACAGCACATCACAAATTGGAGAGCAAAGGAGGAGAAGAGGTTCCTGGGGTCTCACCGTCTCTTCAAGGGCACGCCCCCAGTGACATAAGGACCTCCCACTAGGCCCGCCTCCTGAAGCTTCTACGGCCTTCCAACAGCACCACCTTGGGGTCCAGTCCCTTCAAGTATGGACCATTGAGTGGACACCTATCCACACCACAGCACTCATTTAAATGTGAATTGCAGAAAGATGTTTTACACAGTTATTTGTTGTTTTTCCGAAGTTTTTCTGAAATTGACAGTAAGCTGGGCTCGGGCACAGACACCCAGTTCCTGGCACGCCGCCCCCTTCCCATAGGAGAGGATGCTGAATAGATCTTTGTCAAATGGGCCCTCGGCCCCAACGGAAGATGCCAGTCTGGGCCACCTAAGTGGGGGCAGCAATTCCATTTCCAAGGTAAAACCCTGCCCTGCAACTCTCCTCCCCGGCTTGCGTCTCGGCTCGTGTGCAACAAAATGACGCTGGGCCTGCGTGCACTTCCCATCAGCACAAGATGCTTAGTCAATAAAATAGTTGAGCCAAGTGAACTCAGCGTGCAGCTCCATGAGGAGTCCCCCCCCCAGGGGAAATGTTATCATTTTCCATTCCTGTTTAATGAATCATGGGAATTATAGCAACATTACAAATGGCTTTCTGTGCAGGCTATTACTTTGTTTCTGCAGGGTTCTAATGGTGGGCTGGCTTCACTGAGGGCTTAGCCTGCCCACCCCCACCCCACCCCCGCTAAAGAGAATAATGGTATTATTACAAGTGGTCCTCTTCCCAGCTCTGCCTGGGAGGCCTGGTGGCCCTGGACCTTACGGACTGGGTGTAAAGCAGGAAATCCCAAGTGACGGATTTGGGAATTCCTGGGGAGTCCTTATGGCACCCTTGGGGAACCTCTGAGCCAGGGTTCCCAGGGTGGCAACAGGAAAATCCAGGGGTGTTGGAAGAGGAGGGTACACGAGGGAGGCTAGTGAGCCTTTTTTTCTGAACTGGAGAATTGGGAGAGGAGCTATGAACAAGACAGACTGTGTGTCCAAGAGTGAGGAGTGCTCAAAGATGGAGTGGGGGTAGTAGATATGCCACAGCCATCACCACGGTTGCTCTGAGTCCTGCAGTGGCCCCTGCCATGGTGACACCAGAAGGTGTAAGCCTGGTCCTGTCTGTGGAAGCTTCCAGCCAACGCAGGAGCAGAAGATAGCAGAAGGGAGAGAGGTCACACCCACACTCTCAGAAGCTGGTGAGTCAGGCATAGGTCCTGACACTCCTGTTTGGCAGCAGCAGATCCAGAGGGTCTGGGCTGGAGGAAACAGGATGGACAGGCACTCCTTGGGGACATGCAATCTGTCCAGAGCACATGCTTGCTGCCTACATGATGGGGTGAGCTCTGCTGTGCCTTGTATAAACGCACTGCCTGCTTTCTACAATGTCAATCAAGAGCTGATGTGTGCCATGTAAGGGCTGTCTGATCATCGTGGTGGAGCCGTTTGGAGGTGATCTGCTGGCTTACAATTCCCCTGTTCCCAGATGTGGCTGATTGGCTTAGGCAGGGACACCTGACTCAAAGGAAACCAACCAGATACTGAGCACCATGTAAGATTCAAAAGGGCTGGGGATTTAGCTCAGTGGTTCTGCTGCCTGCCTCACAAGCGCAAGGACCCAAGTTCGATCCTCAGTACCTAAAAAAAAAAAAAAAAAGATTCAAAAGTTTGTTGTAACTTTAGTGCCTAGAATGCTATCTGCCACACAGCAGGGGTTCAATAAATCTGGAATGAATGAATGAGTCTCTGAGGGATTTAGAATCTTTAACTCTGAGCTGGGGATTTAGCTCAGTGGTTCTGCTACCTGCCTTGCAAGTGCAAGTTCCTGAGTTTGATCCCCGGTACCAAAAAATATTTTTTTAAATAAAAGGGGCTAGAATCTCTAACTTGGAAACACAGGGAGCTGTGGAAACTGAGTCATGTTGGCCGGCTGAGCTGGAGAAGGCCCACCATTCCGACCTCCAGCTCCTTGGGACCACCTCAGTCCTGACTCCTGGAAAGGCCTGTGGGTCTCCTCTGAACCTAGACACAGCTGGCCCAACATCATGACTATGGATCCTCTTTTGTGCCTACATCTGTTTCTGTGAGAGCCACAAAACCTTCACTCACTCCGCGAGCCCTCTTGCTCCCTGATGTATCCTGTCCCCACCCCGGGAGCTTCTCCGGGAATCACACCTACTCCTAGCCGTGGGACAGCTGCACTCAGGTCTGCCTCACCGCCCGGCTCTGGTGGGCTGTGGCCCAGAGACGACAGAGATACAGAGACAGGAGGAACGGCACGTGAGGACACAAGTACTCCAGAGCAGGGAGATGTGGGGTGCTGTGCCCCTCTCCTTTAAAGGCCCTCCCCAACCCTAGCCTCAGATGTGGGATCCTGAGAGCCCCTTCTCAGGTCAGAGATGCCTGCTGTGTAAACCCAAGTTCAGCCATCCCTGACACCTCCTCTGCCTCCCACCCTGCACACACAGAGGGGGCGGCCACTGGTGTAGCCAGGGCCCTGAGAAAAGCTGAGCCGTAACCTGAGACAGGAGGAAGGCACACCCGCGCGCCCCCACCGCGGCTGCTCTCCGCCTGGCTCGGTCGACTTCTCCTCCCTCCCTTCCGCCCTCGCCCCGGGTGCCCGGATACTAATTATAATGACCCGGTGAGTTACAAGACGGTGAAATTGCTTCCACCTGAGGTTGTCACGGGCTAGGAAGAAATACCAGAGCTGGAAATTAAACTGTGCCAGCAGGCTTGAAGGGGCGGGAGTCGGGAGGAGGACAGCCTAGGTGGGGAGCGAAACCTGAGCTTATGAAGTGGTGTTTATGGAGTGTCAGGAGGAAGCATCCTTGGAGAGACGCAGGGCAGCCTGAACGCTGCCCACCCACTGCTGTCACCTAACACAATATGCCACAGCAGAAGGTTAGGTGACCGGAACCGGCAGGGGCCCCAAAGCCAGAAAGAACAACAGGCTACTGTTGTGGATTGGAGCGGCCTCAGGAGAGGAAGAAGGGAGAAAGTGCCTGCAGCCCAGCCTCAGGACCCGTAACAGCCAGCCGGTGGGAGGAAGCTTTCTCCAAAACCCGACCCTTCCTGTCTGCCTATACAGCTTTGCTGTGACCTTGTCATTTGCAAGGCTTGCAGGCCCAAGGAGCATGGAGACCCAGGCCTCACCACTGAGGTCAGCACCACCGAAATCGCCTTGCTGGACAACTGCGATGTCACAGACCGTCTGAGTCCCCAAGATCCTCTTCGCAGGCGCCAGCAGCAGGCTGAGGTTGACTCCCTCGAATTCTGCCAAATCTTTAAGCGATAGATCTCTCCACTGCTGTTTCAACTATTTCAGGGCACAGAAAAAGAAAAAAAAGTTTCTAGATTATTAAGTAAGAATAATATTAAAACCACCAGTACCCAACAGCAAGATCACACACACACACACACACACACACACACACACACCCCAAAACAATCTCACTTATGAATTTCACTGCAATAAATCAAAATAAAATAGTAGCACACAGAACCTGGCAGCACATAGAAAGAGTAAATAATATGATCAAGTGAGGCTGAAGAAACACCAGGTGGTTGGTGTCAGGAAAGCCGCTATTCTACCACATTTAAGCATAAATTATCTGCATAAATAAGTGGTCATTCCTAATTTTTGAAACTATCACTGAATAAGAACAACTACTTCTCAACGTGACAAAATACATGCTTCTTGACCTCAAATTAGGAAATATTAAAAACATTCCCTTTAAAGTCAAGAACAAGACTGGAAAGTCCTAAATCTTCCTTATTACCTCATGTCTTTTGTACACACTTGCTATGACAATAAGATAAGCAAAAGCAATTGAAATGAGTTCCATTTGGGATTTTTTTTTTTTACAATGATGCAAAAAGCAATATGTGTTCAGTAAAAACTACGCTTTGGACTTTGAACTTTGATCTTTTCTTGGGCTGGCGATGACTGATATGCCCTCAGGATGCCGGGTGGCAGCAACAAAGTGCAGCTCCCAGACAGTCAGGAAATCACAAGGGTAAATGACCCATACCCTACAGCATACTGTGTGGCTAGGCTGTGACATGTGATCCATCAGGTATATTAAATACATTTTTGACTCACCATATTTTCAGCTTATGATGAGTTACCTGGACATAATTCCATCATAAGCCAAGAAGTAGCTGTATAAAAACTGCCACGGAAAGGTAAAATTATCATTTTCTTTGGAAAATATAAAAATATGCCGTTATACCAAAGAGATAAGCTGAAAAACTATTGCCAACAATAAGGAAATTCAATGACATGGACAGCTACAAAATTAATATGCAAAAATCAATGGCCTTCATATTTTAAAATGACAACCAGTTGGAGCATAACATAGAAAAATAGATGACATTTACAATGGCAGCCAAAAAGATCAGATACCTAGGATTTTGCAAAATATACATAAAGAAAATTCTAAAATCCTGCAAAGAGACCCAAAATATGACTGAAAGATGGAAAGGCATACCACATTCTTGGGTAAGAAGAAGCAAGGTCATGAGGCTACATCAGTTTTCTTCTCGTTAACCTACAACATTTACATATTCCAATAAAAATAGCAACAAAAATTTCTAACAAAATGAGGGTGACTTTGAAGTTCATATGGGAAAATGAATGTGAAAATATATCCAGAAAAATTTTGAAAAGAAGAATCATGAGGTGGGGACTATGCTTATCAGATTTTTTTTTTTTTTTTTTTTTCAAATTTTTTTTTTTTTTTTTTTTTGAGACAAAGACTCACTGTGTAACCCAGATTGGGTTTGAACTCACAGCAATTCTCCTGCCTTAGCCTCCCCAGGGCTGGGATTACAGTCCTATGTACCCAAACCCCCCATCAGATATTTTAAAAATTATAGGGCTTCAATAATTAGAATAATAGAGTAGTGGTTTGTGGGTAGACAAATACATCAAAGGAACAATACAGAAATATTTTTTTAATGTGAGCTTTTAGTCTACCATATAAGTGGCATTCAGAATCATTGAGGAGAAACTAGGGAAACTAGCCCAGTGGCATAATGCTTGCCTAGCATGTGTAAGGCCCTGAGTTCAGTCCCCAGCACCCTACACAAACACAAACAAACAAACAAACAAATCCCAAAGGATCAAAGGAAGACATATAAATGGCCAACAGATATGAAAAAAATTCAACATCACTGATCACCAGGAAAATGTAAATGAAAACCACAATGAGATATTGTCTCACACCTGTTAGAGAAATAGCAAGTGTTAGCAAAAATATGGGGGTAAAGGGAACCTTTGTATACTATTGGTGCAAATGTAAATTCGTTACCACCATTATGAAAACCAGTACGGCAGTTCTTCAAAAGCTTAAAAATAGAACTATCATCATATGATCCAGTACTCCCACTTCTGGCGGGGGCATCCAAAGGAATTGAAATCAAAATCTCAAAAGAGTTAACAATACTGTCATGTTAATTGCAGCATTATTCATAATAGCCAAAACATGAAATCAACTTGAATGTCCACCAGTGGATGAGCGGGTAAAGAAATTATGCTACACATAAACAGCAGATGTGACCATTAATCTCCATCGTCAACTTGATTGCTTGAGAGATTAGTAAAGCATACTTCTGCAGGTGACTGGGAGGGTCGTAGGGGCAGGGTTCGGGGGACTATACCTGGTCCCCGGTTTCCTCCTCTGGTACTCTTCCCTGGAGCTGTGCTTCCCAGCTGCCATGAAAGGAACAGTTTTGTCCACCATGCACTTCTCCCATGATGTCTCTGCCTTGGAGCCGCCCACTGTGGACTGAAACTCATAAAACTGTCTCCTTTGAACTGTAGGTGTCAGGCTGGTTTTTGTTTTGTTTTGTTTTGTTCCCAGCCACAGGAAGCTGACCAGTGGAATGGAACATGTTCAGTCTTTAAAAAGAGGGAGATCTTGTCACTTGTTACAACATAGACGAGCTAGAAGACATCATGCTAAGCAAAATAAGCCCGACACAGAAAGACAGGTCCTCCATTATCTTCCTTATATGTAGAATCTAAAAAAAGTTGAATTCGCAGAAGCAGTTAGTAAGCAGAACAGTAGCTCCAGGGCCCAGGCAAGAGGGAGGTAGCAGGGGAAGGGGAGATTTTGGTTACAGGTTACAAAGGGGTAAGTTCTGAAGATCTACTGTACTGCATGGTGACTATAATTAATAGTGTATAAAAAGTATCAAGAGATTAGTTCCTTTAGCTCAGAGATTCCACCAAGCACAAGGACCTGAGTTCAATCCCCGGTACCAAAAAAAAAAAAGATTAGATCTTAAATGCTCTCACCACAAACAATACAAGTATGTGAAGTGATAGATATGTTATTTAGCTTGATTTAATCATTCCATAATGTATGCAGCTATCAAACATCATGTTATACACCATAAATGGAGTAAAGTACTTATACATGCTACAATGTGGATGGGCCTTGAAAACATGTTAAGTAAGAGAGCCCAGATACAGTGAGTCACAAATTGTATGACTCCAGTTATGTGAAGTCCAGGACAGGCAAATCCACGGAGACAGAAATTAGATTTGTGATGATCTAGAAGTGGGGTGCAGGGGAGGACAGGAGAGCACAATCACTGATGAGTACATGGTTTCTTTGATGGGGCTACTGGAGATGTTCCATAATACGATGGCAATGATAGTTGCTCAACTTTGCAAATTTACCAAAACCCACTGAATTTTAGTCTTAAAGGGGGGAATTTTGTCATATTTGTACTTTATCACCAAGAAAAAATATCTCTGCATGATCCTTAAAATATAGTGTTAATTGAGAAAACAAAGCAAAGGACTTTGTGGATGATATCTTAACATTTTTGAACAGGAGAAATATATTTTATAGAACTGTGCATGTGATGAAATATCTGCCTAGACTCTCTTGAAAGAGGCACAGAAATTAGTGACCTTGCCTTGGAAAGGGAACTAAGAGACTGGGGGTTGTGGTGGGAGGGGAACTTTTCATTGCAGATACCCTTGAACCATGAGAATTTATTGCCCATTCAAATATTAAATTGAATTTAAATTTTAAAAATGAAAGTGACACCTCTAACTGTCTGTGGTGGGGCAGGAGTAGCTGTGAGGAAAATGTGGCTGCCGTTGATGGCTTTAGAAGGATAGAGCCCCAGGGCAGATGGACTTGAGTCCTGCCATCCTCAGGCCTAAGCAGTGATTACAGCAGGGAAGCTCGCAAGATGGGCAGGGCCTCTGACAACACCCAGCTTGATTCCTTCGAGGAAGAGACCCAGGAAGAGAGGGAAGGATTGGGGATAGGGAGGAAGGGCTCCTGTGCTTTGTCCTGGAGCCAAGTCAGCTTCTAGGAGAGGTGGGCAACGGCCTGAATAAGAATGAGGGGGGCAAAGAGGCAGAGAGAAGTTGAACCAGCTGAGTCTCTCCTGTTTATGGTTGTGAAGTGTGTGTGCCTGCCCCGCACTGGGCAGGAATACAGGGATTCTCAGACATGGTCCATGCCTTCCAGGAGCCCCAGGTCCAGGGGCATCTGCCTATAGCTCATCCCCAGAGTTTCTCCTGGCCAGGGAGGTGGTGCTAGGCTCCACCCCCAGCAATGAAGAGGACATTTCTGCGTTCCAACCTGCAACGCACAGCACTGAGAAAGAATTGATTTGAGAGGCGGGGGGGGGGGGGGGGAGCAATGCCCAGGGGCTCAAGGTCCTCTGGTGGAGGCATCCTTTTCTCTTCTAGAGTCACAGACTAGAGGAGCTCACAGAGATCCCTGGGCCACACTGCTGTGGACTCTGTGACTTCTCTGCCGCCATGTGCAGCTCCTTCTGGGAAAAGTACCCTATTCATGGTCAGTCCAGAGATTTGGGGAACCAGGCAAAACCCTCAGAGAAAAGATGTGGAGAAGCCCACAGTGAGGGCTCCAGGGGGCCAGGAGAACATTGTGCATGCATTGGATATCAGTAAACACACTTCTCTCCCATCCTTACCTCTCCAGGTCCCAAATCCCAGATGTGAGCTGGCACTGGCAGAGGAAGAGATGCATCCAAGAGGGAAAGCCCTAGGTCCCAGAAGTTAGTGGCAAACAGAGCTGTTTATTATTTCTAGTCAAATAATTAGCTATTAAATAACTGTGAGTCTAGGGTTGGTTGTTCTGCTCACGTAGGTCAGGCGGAGCTGATGTGACCAGGTTAATGTGTCTTTGGTAGGTGGCTGGGCACTCGGTGGTCTAAGAAGCTTCAGCTGACCTGTCTTGCAGGATGCAAGCACCAAATTGCTCTCATGGCAGTGGCAAGGGTCCAAGAGAACACTTTTCCAGCCTGCTGCTTGCACAAAGTTTTCTTCTATCCCATTGTCCAAAGCAAGTCCATGGCCGAGAGTTGCAAAGTTCCAGAACACCAGTGTACATACAGGCAAGCCAGGAACTGGGGCCATGAAAGCAACCATCTCTCCTAATCTCTCCCAATGCAAAGCAAATGAAAATAGTACCCCAGATCAGGTGAGAAAGTAGTTTCCCCACCTTAGGGGAATATGGGAGCCCATATGTGCCCCAAAATTGCTCTCTACCTGGCTGTCTTTGGAGAGACAGGGGAGGGAGCAGAAGAGAGCGCCACCACCACTATGGGGCCTGTCCCCATACTGAACAGCAGGCAACACGCAGACTGCCCTTTGCTGATTCTGAGGCCCTGCTGCAAAGAATGTGCAGGGTTAAGAGACAGAGAGGCCTGGGTTTGAATTCCACTTGTAGGCCGTGTGAACTTGAGCAAAGCAATCCACTTCTCTGAGCCTCAGTTTCCTTCCTATTGAGTAGGGCTGCTAAGAAAAGCCATTGTACAGGACCTCCAGGAAAGTTCATGGGCTCATATACTTGGTGCCTGCTCTGGTGGCCACCACAGTATCCTTATCTCCATTTTACAGAAGAGAAAACTGAGGTCCTGAGAAGAAAAGAGAGAGAGGCAGAGTAGCATCTGCACCCACATCCCCTAATCCCCAGTGTCGAGACTCTTCCTCTGCTCCAAGGTGGACCCATGTGCGTAGAGAGGAAAGCAGCCTTTGGAAACCCAGACAACAAACCAGTTTCCATTATCCCTGTGCCAATGGGCACTTTGGGGAATATTCATGAGAGCACCTTTCTTTCTTTTTCCTTGCTACACACACATACACACGCGCAAGCGCGCGTGTGTGTTTCCATTTGGTCCAGGCTCAGGAGAAGGCTGCAAGGTATCTGGCTAGAGTGGCTCAAGCAGAAGCCCTGCTACCAGGGCATGCAGAGGGGCCCCTCACAGGCCACAGGGCTCCACAGACTCCCAATTTCATGAAAGGGCCAGGTGGCCTTCAGAGGTTGGGCATGGGGTCATCCATCCTCTTAATGAGTCTCCTCATCTAAGAAGTGACTCCCCAGGAAGTCACTGAGTGGGCCTGTGCAGACAGAATCCAGGACATGCAGATCCCAGGGGCCTGGTCCAGGCAGGCTCTGCTCCAGGGCCAGGACAGCTCCCATGACAGCTCCCACAGGCAGGCAAGCTTTCACTCTCTCACCTTGGGTGAGAACATGGCTTCTCCAGGTTCCGCAAGAGTGGGGAGCCACACATGGGTTTTGCATTTTCCAAAGATGCTTCCAAATACCCTTCTCCTACACCAACTCCAGGAAATGGGCCACATCCCCCAGAGCTACATTGACAAGGTCAAAATCGAAGCTCAGAGACAGGAGCTGAAGACCCAGAGATGCTGATGGATCAAGCAGTCGGCGGTGGCCTCTAGCTCAATGGGATAACCTGACACATTGGTTGATTCTCAGAAGCTGGTTCCACAAGCAAGGGACGGCCAAGAAGATGGTCTTGGAGATTGTGTCAGAAGGGCAGCAGAGGCACCCCCAGTCTGCCTCATTCGAATACAGTCAAAGCAAGAGACAGATCCAAAGGACTGCCAGGTGCACTTAGGAGCAACTTTACTGATCAAGGCAATGATGTATCAGTCAGGATCCCAGCAGGAAAGGGATGTGACACTCAAATTAAACAGAAATTAATGTACGACTTATTCGCTAATTTATTTACTAATTATTTACTAATGTATGGAGGTGTGGGCAGGATGTGGGGATGTCAACAAGGGATTGTGTAGATCTCAGGGCCCGGGGAGCTATTATTAACCAGGTCTAAAAGGCATGAGAAGGGAACCTTCAGAGGCCTCAGTGGAGCTTCATCATCGACCCTCAACCCCACGGCAAGGAAGGGAGGTTGAAACGGTGAGCCTCTTCTCTACCCTGCCCATGCCACCCAGCAGCAGGACAAAGGACCCACTGGAGTGTCCACACTGACCTACCCTCTGTAGACCAAGGCAGCGAGAGGGTGGAGAGAGAGACATGAAAAGGCCTGTGAAAAAAATGTCCAGCCTGCTGGCTGCACATCAGTGTATTCCTAGCCCCCTGCTCTCCAAGCTTTTGGCTTCTTCAAAGGATAGGGCCAGAGATTAAGGCCAGAGACACAGAGCCTGATTCCAGAACACACCAAGCTGGACCCCACTTTTCCCCAGCAACCTGGCCAAGGTGACCTGTGGCAAAGCCAGCTCCTGCCCCGGCACTAGGACCCAGCCTCTTGACACTGGAGTCTTTTTCAAAATCAGAAGGCAGAAAGCTGAACAGCCCTCTCTGATCCTCCTGTCAATCCATATCTGGGCCCAAGACTCATTTTCAAACCAACCAAGCATCAGAAGCCACACATCAGGCTTATCTCTCCTGCCACTCATCTCCAGAAAGCCCTTCCTCCCCTTCCCTATGATTCCCAGACAAATAGAATCCCTCCCCCGGCCCCAAATCCTAATAAATGTCAGAGCTCAAGGAGCAGCCCCCAGCCCTGCAGAGTCCCCAGCATGCTCCGGTGTGCTTGGTGTCAACAGCAGATCCATCCAGGTCTGACTTCCGACCAGAGCCTGAGGAATGCCAAAAACATCGCCCCTCCCCAAGCCCAGGCCTGGGGCCACGGCCCCGCAGGTTACCCCTGCCTCCGCTGTCAAAATTCATCTTTACCTCCATCCACTAAGTGCAAGAGGGGGTGGGGGCTGCATTTTTGCATCTCTGGTTTAACGCTGCTAACTCCGGGATTGCAATCAGCTGAGGTGGGGCTGCTGGGACCCTGGACCCCAGTCCTGAGCTGCCTGTGATGACTGCCCCCTCCTCCCCACCACACTGACTGTTTCGCCCTTGATCTTGGCAGGCGGCATAGGCACAGTGGCTGCGAGCAGATAGTGCCTTTGGAACCCGGCTGGAATCCTCGCTCTGCCCTCAGCCATGTCAGACGCATTCATCCATTTTCATTCATTCAACAAATCAGTCATTGTTTGAGACACTGCTCTTGGCCTGAGCAGACGGTAGGGGAACCCCGTAGGGTAGGGAAGACAAGGTCCCTGCCCTCATGGAGCCTACACTTTAGAGGAAGGGGCAAACAATAAAGTGAAAACAAAACAAAGTGGTAAGATGGAAAAGCCCAGGGTGGGGTGCAGGGAGGGATGAATAGAAATAGATCATCAGGTAGGATTCTCTCAGGAAGTGACAACTGAAATAAGACCTGGCGCAATTACGCAGGTTCTCAGAATCCATTTCCGCATCTAAAAAAGTACAATAATTTTAATCATGTCTGTCTCTCCAGACTGATGAAGACTTAAAGCAGTTCATATATGTCAAAGTTTGGCCCAGGGCCCGGCACATAATAAGTGGTCAATAAATTGCAGCTCCATGCCTACGTAAGGAGAGAGGGGCTTAAGGAGGCCCTGCAGCCCCCCAAAGAGTGGGCTTCCTGGAGGAGGTAGTCCAACTGGGCCAGCTGCAGGCCTGAGGCCAGCCCAGCTCTCTTGTCCCTGCCTCGGCTAAGAGGATCCCAGCAACCTGGACCTCTCAGATTATGACCTAGGAGAGCCCCAGCCTCCTTCTGGGCTCCTACGCTGCTGTCTGTTTTCCATTGAGGCTTGGGGCTCCCAGGAGCCCCCATGTTCCTGCTCTGTCTCACCCACCCAGAACTAGCGGGTCGAATCTAGGATATTGATGACCTACACAAAGTGGTCCCCTTTGGCTGAGGACCAGGTCCCCACTGTGCCTCCACCCCTTCCCCAAACCCAGCCCCAGCTCTGAATCCCACTCCACCCCCACACCACACATCTGAATCCCACCTCCCGCCCCAGGGACGAGGATCCCCTTTCTCCTCCTCCCTCCCTGCTCGCGGCTGCCCCCCACCGCTGAGGCCCGGCTAGAGGGAAGGGTAGGCAGAGGGAGGGAGGCCAGCCCGGGGAGGGGCACAAAGTCCCAAGGGGAAGGCGTGACGCGTTCCCTCCTTCCCCCTCTCCGGCCCTAGGCGCTGTCCTACAAATGCCACCACTTCTGACTGATGGCAGGAAATTGGTCCCGGCTAAGCCCAGCTCAGGCAGACTGATAAATACTCACGGGGAAGGCAACAGAGAGGGAGGGGAGGGCTGTGCAGCAGAGGCTGATGGGAAGAGGAGGGAAGCTGCTCCTCCGGGACGAGCCCCCCCCAGCTCAGGGACCTCCCCTCTGGCCCTGCAGGGGTGGGGTGGGGGGCAGGAACGAGGAGACAGCCAGATCCTACGTCCCTCTTCATAGTGACCGGCCCTTGCTAGAACCTCTCCCCCAGCTGACATCCTGTCCCTCCCCCCAGGCCTAGCCGGCTTCCCTCCCTTCTCCCAGAAGCCTTTGCAGCCCTTCCAGCTGGATGCCAGCCCCACTCCTGGTCACACGGGTACAAGTGTCTTCCCTACAGCATCTCATCGCTGCTCACAATTCCCTGAGAAGGAGGAATTGTTACACCCATTCCACAGGTGAGAAAACGAAGCTGGGAGAGTTCAAGTGACTCACCCAAACCCACACAGTCCGTGAGTAAATGCTGAGACCAGGGTTTGAACCTGGCTCACCTGACTGCGGGGCCTGGGTGCCCCGTAATTTTTGATCAGCACCTTAAGCTTCTGGTAGAAACCCTGAGCATAGACTTCATGACATTACAGGTCGCCGTGCCTCTGTCTGCCTTCTCCGTCAGACTACCAGCTTTCCAGATGGGGGCCCTGTCTCTTATCACCCCCACCCCAGTCCCCCAGAACTCTTGTGTCTGCACACAGTAGGCATCTCCCCTCCACTGTTGGACCAGATGGCCCTTAGGCGACAAAGAAGGCTGGCACAGGGCAGACACGCAAGTGCCCCTGGCCTCTGTCCTCCCCAGCCAGTCTTTCCCGCTCTGTCCCCCAGCTCCTCTCTGCACTGCTACCCATTCCTGCTGGCTTCACTGAGACTCCCCTTACAGTGTTTCCAAAAATCTCATGAGCCTTTGCATTTTAAGCAGACGTTATTGTATCAGATTTCCCGTCTTTCCAGCAGCTCAGCTCTACCCAAGTTGGATGAACTGATCTCAGATAAATCGCATCAGCTATCAGCTTCGCTGAGACTGGGGGTGACATTTCCCCGGTTTGCTCAGGTTTGATGTGAAGGAGACCTTTCTGCTGTAAACCACCGAGGCCAGGTAGACGAATAAACAGTTTCGTAGGAATGGTCCCACTCCACCTATCTGGGACATCCAGTCTGACTTCTAACTCCCTGTGGTTTCTGAAAGGCTGGGAGCCGACAGACAGCAGACAGAGGAGGGCACCAGGGATGCAGCCTCCTCTCTTGGCTTGATGGTAATTGGCAGCATTTCCATGCATTTCCATGCGGGATTATGCCATAAATTTACTCAACTCCGAAAAGGGTTGCTCCCAGCAGGGAATGCAGCAGGAGAGCCGGGAGGGGTGGGAAAGGGTAGCAGTACCCCCAGACTCTAGGCCTAATATCGCTGAACATCCCAGCCCCTTCAGCCCAGAGCTGATCTTCTCCCCAGCCCTACAGGCAGCCCTGGAGCTGGGGGAGCCTCCCTGGGAGAGAGGCTCGAGGATCTGGAGCCAGGATCTCAGGAAAGCAGAGGGTGGAACAGGAGGAGTAGAATAGGAGGGGTGGAGAAATAGTGAGGGGAAGGTGGTGTGTGAGGAGACACCTGACACCCTCTGCAAATCCTCAGGTTGGACCACAGTTTGGCCCTGGCAGTGGAGACCGCTCAGTTGGCTAGGGCAGGCCTTTAGTAGTCTGTCCTTGCCACTGCAGCCATGACCGGAGGGCCCTGGAGAAGGTGGTGTTGAGTTACCCTCTCCCAACGTGCGGCCCCTCCCAGGCACACACTCAGGTACTCACACATCCACCCAAAAGCACAAAGGCGTACACACCCACTCCCGAATATTAGCAAGAACCCATGTTTGATTTGTAATGAGTTTGGGTTTTTTAATGAATATTTTTTGCAAAACTAATTAAGAGGGACTGAAGCCCAGAGAAGAGCTAATGAGCTATGCAAATACCCTGGCATCAACCCCACTGGTGAGGTTCAAGGCTGAGGATAGTGAGCCGGAGGGAAGGGGGATACTCGCGCTGCCCAGGGTTCTCTGCAGCCTCCTCCCCTCAGAGGGTCCACAGCGGGTGGAGGGGCCAGCAAGAGAGGCGGTTGCAGAAAGGGTGGGGCCTTTGGCAGTGACTCTCAAACATCAGCCTCAGGATTACCCAGGGCACCAGCCCCGAGCCTCCTGCCTGATTCCCCAGGTCTGGCTGGGGCCTGAATATGTGCTTTTGTGAAAAAACCCATCCCCATCCGAAATGACCATGGTCTAACTTCTGCCTTGGAAGTGTTGGCCTGCAGACGGCTCTAGAAAGGTGCCACATGGGACATATGCCCACAGGCTTGAATGAACCAAGGGCTGCAGGGACACAGCGGAGACCCTGCCCTTGGTGAGAAAGCCCAGCACATCAAGGAGGATTAAATCCCTCCTGGGATCCCCGTGAGCTAACACCTCACCCTCACCTCCACATCCTGTCCCCACAGCAGCCAAACTCATCCATAGCCATTAGCTTATCTGGCCCTGGGAGGCCCACAGCCCCATGTGACTGACTGGGAGACTAAGCTGAGAGACCACCTGATGTGCCTAAGATCACCCCAGGAGAGCTGCGATCTTCACTCGGTCTGCAGCTCCCCTTTCCAAGGAGCATCTCGCTCAGTCCCAGTAGGAAGATGCAGCACGGTGAGGTTCTCTGGAGGGTTCCCAGGCTATAATTGTAATGATGACAAAGTCGCCTGAATAGCATTGAGCAGAGCTTCCTGTTCTTTCTGCTTTGTCCTTCTGATCCCCAGAATGGGCTGTGGAGAAAAGCCCCAAGCCATGGCTCACACCCCCACCTAGGCCCTGGGTGTCACCACTGCACACAGACACAGGGAGGGAGCCGAAGCAAACCCAGGAAATCCCCCCCACCCAACACTACCTGGCTGGCCCTGCCTACCATGCCCATAATGCACTGCTTCACACCCAAGCTGCTGCGTGAGACAGACTGCTCCCATCACCAGGACAGCAGAGCCAGTAAGGAGGGCCAAGAGGTAGCCAGGGGGCCCCTGGGACTTGATACATCTATGCAGTTCTGAGTCTCAGGTTCACGCCAGTTGCCCTTGGAACTGATTTGGGTACAGCGCTATAGAGGAAGGCCCAGCAGCCCCTTCTTCCCTATCTGCTCCTTCACCGTGCTCCAGACAGCCTGGAGGGGGCCCAGATGCCTCCACAGGAAAGTTAATCATTATTGGCTGGCCCAGGGGATGAGTGCAGAGAATTGAGTTGGTCGGAGGCGGGAGACAGGAAGCGACTGCAGCCCTGTGAACGTGACGGAGCCTATGGGACGGATTCCCGTGCCCCACACAGGTCAGGCCCTTCTGGCCCCGAGCCCTAAACCTGAGTACACAAAAATGAGAACCACTGCTTACTGCGTGTAGAACACCCAGCCCGTCAAGTACCTCACATGCCCTCACATCCGCCTTTACAATAACCCTGAGGCACCATGTGTCTATTAACCAGAACTTAGGGATAAGAAAAGCAGATAGAAAGAGGGAAAGTGAAGCTCATGCACCTAGAAACTGAGCTAGGATTTGAACCTATTTCATTTTGTCTCCAAAGCTTGGTTTCTTTGTTCCTGTTTGGCTACACTTTCTTCACGAATTGTCTTTCTCAAGAACTCCTGCTCATCCTTCAAAACCCAGCCCTCCCTGAGTTTCTTCCCTTCTCAGTCAGAGTTACTCATTAGAATCCTAAATAAAGCTTTAGATTAATAGGTGCCGTATGACTGGGCCCAGGAATGCCCGCCTTTTGTTTTCCTGATTATCACTATTCCTTAAGCAACACACCCATCAAATAGTAGCAACGTGGCTGGCTCTAGAATCTTGTTTTTGTTTTTGTTTTTTAACTGCTAAAATATAAAGAACACACACCCTAACATTTTTTAAGTGTACACTTCAGTGGCATTAAAGTGCTTTTGCATTTTCATGCAGCCATCAATACCACCGTCTCTAGAATTTTTCATCCTCCCAAACTGAGATTCTGCACTTACCAAACAACAACCTCCCCCAGTCCTTCCTCCCCTCAGCCCTGGGTAGCCACTGTGCTACTTTTTCTCTCTAGGAATGTGACCCCTCTGGACACTTCGTGGGAGTGGAGGTGGACAATATTTGTCCTTTGTGTCTGGCTTCTTTCACTAAGCACAGTGTCTTCGAGGAGCATCACACTGCAGCATGTGTCAGGATGCCCTTCCTTTCTGGGGCTGAAGAACGTTCCATTGCACGTATATGCCACATCTTATTCAACCACTCATCCCTCGATGGACATCTGAGCTGTTTCCTCCTTCCGGCTGCTGTAATCGATGCTGCTGTGTCTGTGACCGTGCAAATATGAGTCTTTGCTTTCCAACCTTTTGGGTACGCATTCAAAAGCAATCAAGAATCTTAATCCCTGTGCTCTCCGCCCTTACACAATGTACAGTGCAACCAAGGCAAAGAGAGCCTCCCCTCTCCTGATCTATTACGGAGCCGGTCACAGGTCTGTTTCTCCCGCTCCATAAATCCCTGTGTCCGGCGTCACTGTTCCTCTTACTGCCGACTTCCATCGACAACTGCCTCCCTGGACATTCCCGCCTCTGTCTCATGCATTCTAACCTCCGCTTGTCCACACTAGGACCTTCAGTCCTCCCTCCCGGAAGTGAGGGCTTCTTGTCCCGATGCCCCGTCTCAGATCCTGCCGAAGTTGGAAGCAAACCCAGAGTCCTCCTAGCACTTGCTTCTCCCCTCACCCCCAGGCACCCACCCACCAGCAGAAACACTCACTCATACGAACCTCAGGTCGGTCCATGCGTCTCTTCCCTTCTCTGCATCTTCACCGCGTCCCACCCCTCAGACTAAACCAACACCGTCCCCGCCTGGACCTCTGCATCTGCCCTCCCGCTTCCCCCATTTCGTCCATCCACACTGCATCCTGACAGTTGGCTCTCAACACAGTTACACGGTCACCTCAGAACTTGCCCTCCTTATCCATTGTTTGTGGTATAAAGGCCAAAGCCTTTACCCTACCAGAAGGCCCCCACGATCGTGACCACCAGCCCCAGGAATGCAGCCCCTCGCTGTATCTGTGATACTGACGGCCCAAACAATGGTGTTTTAAATGACTGTTATCGAATACCCAAGGCCCTGACGTCAGAAAGGACCTTCGACTCTAGGCAAGTTCTACCACCACGCCACCCTGTCTGAACACCAGTCTCACCTAGGGGCCTGG